TCTTAGCACCATTTACTGAATAGGAGATCCGTTCCCCATTGCTTGTTTTTGCCAGGTTTGTAGAAGATCAGATGGTTGTAGATGTGTGGTGTCATTTCTGAGGTCTCTGTTCTGCTCCGTTGGCCTATATGTCTGTCTGGTACCAGTACCATGTTGTTTTGGTTACTGTAGTTTTGTACTATAGTTTGAAGTCAGATAGTGTGATGCCTCCAGCTTTGTTCATTTTGCTTAGGATTGTCTTGGCTATATGAAGTTTTCTTTGATTCTATATGAAATAAAAATGTGGAATGCTTCATGAATTTGTGTGTCATCCTTGCTCAGGGGCCATGCCAATCTTCTCTGTATTGTTCCAATCTGTTGCCCAGGATGGAGTACAGTGGCACAATCTTGACTCATTGCAACCTCTGCCTCCTGGGTTCAAACAATTCTCCTGCCTCAGCTTCCTGAGTAGCTGGGATTACAGGTGCCCGCCGCCATGCCTGGCTGATTTTTTTGTAGAGATGAGGTTTCACCATGTTGGCCAGGCTGGTCTCAAACTCTTGACCTCGGGTGATCCGCTAGTCTCGGCCTCCCAAAGTGCTGGGATTATAGGTGTGAGCCACCTTGCCTTGCCTGAACGTTTTTTAAAAGTACTTTTTTTTTGTTTGTTTGAGACAGAGTCTCATTCTGTCACCAGGCTGGAGTGCAGTGGCCCGATCTCGGCTCACTGCAACCTCCACCTCCTGGGTTTAAGTGATTCACCTGTCTCAGCCTCTGATACAGCTGGGACTACATGTGCGCACTACTGTACCCAGCTAATTTTTGCATTTTTAGTAGAGACGGGGTTTCACCATGTTGGCCAAGATGGTTTTGATCTTTTGACCTTGTGATCCACTGGACTTGGCCTCCCAAAGTGCTGGGATTGCAGGCGTGAGCCACTGCACCCAGCCTTTAAAAGTACTTTGCTTCATTTTATAAATGTGATCCTGAAAAGTTGGGGATAAACATTTTATATATTTGTAAGTATAATACAGGGATAGTTTGAGGGGTGGTTAAATCATATCTTAGTTAACTTTAGAGCAAAGAGACTCTTTTTTGTCTTGTGAATGATCCCCAACTTTTTGTCTTGAATGTTGGTATTGGAGATTTTTCTTGAAGTCAAACATACCTCTTCTAAGAATGGAACCTTTTAAAAGGGAGCGATTTGGTTATTTGAAATTGAAGATAGCTGTGTATACCAGGACACCCCACCATTTGTCGTTACCCACTTCTCCATTTGTTTTACCAGCATCTCTTGTTTTCCTGTTCCATGCACTAGAAATCTTGGAGCCGTCTTATTTTTATAATATATACTTCCTATGTGTTGATTTTGTTTTCCCTAATAGAGTAAATTTTTGAAGGTAGGAGGCATCTCTTAATATCCTTTAGTGATGAGCATAATAAGAGATTTTAATAAATACATATTCGGCAAAGATGAGAGAGGTGGAGAGAGAAAGAAGTTTCTCTGCTGAAAAAGTGTGATTAATTTTGGTTTTTGTCTACTTCATATGGTACCCATCACCAGTGGGGAATTTCTTCCACTTGCAGACCAAGTGTGTCCTCTGCCAAAGAAATGTGATTACTTTTGGTTTTTGTCTACCTCATGTGGTACTATATCACTAGCAGGGAATTTCTTCCATTTGCAGACCAAGTATGTTGGGGACTTGAGATGTGTATATGTTGTTTCCTGCTGAAAGCCCAGGTAAGATAGCAGAAGCCAGATTGGGGCCTGAAGAATCTGACTTGATAGTATGTAGAATGACTTCTGTGATAGCCCTGAGGAGAGAATCTCAGATTTCTATCCTCTTTTAAACATCAATCCTGAATATTTAACTGTCAGCAGGGCAGCTGGACCTGAACATGCTTTAGGTTTCTTTCTTTCTTTCTTTCTTTCTTTCTTTTCTTTCTTTCTTTTCTTTCTTTTCTTTCTTTTCTTTCTCCTTCCTTCCTTCCTTCCTTCCTTCCTTCCTTCCTTCTTTCTTTTCTTTCTTTTCTTTCTTTTCTTTCTTTTCTTTCTTTTCTTTCTTTTCTTTCTTTTCTTTCTTTTCTTTCTTTTCTTTCTTTCTTTCTTTCTT